CGTATGGGGAGAAGTGATGTTGCGGGACCTTTCGATAGAAAGCTTCAGCTTTAACCGTATAGGAATCTGTGTGGTGCGGGGACGGAAAAAAGTCAGGAACGAAATTTTGCAGTCAGGGACCCGGAAAATGTAGTCGGCTCGAAAGTTGTCGGGGACGAGAAGGGAGATTCGAGAACGGGATCTCCGAAATTTCCCGATTATTAGTATTGCAGGGACGGAAAAAAGTCGGGAACGGGGAAAATTGGAAACGAAATTCTTTAGTCGGGAGCCCCGAAAATGTCGTCGGCTAGAAGAAAATCGAGGACGGTGATTCGGCAACGGGATCCCCGAAATTCGCGATCCCTGCACCACACTAATAGGAACAATACAAGCGATGATTAGATGCGTACAATACCATGCTTTCAGTGAATTAGGCAATACCATGGTTGTTAGTGAATTGGTATAGTGGAACGAGAATACCTCTGGTGGTCAAGTTTAGATGCGCCGAAACGTCCTGCAACATTACCTTTGTCTACGCATTGTTTAGACCAGTGGTTCTCAACTTTCTCCTCACACCCCTTAGAAAATTTTAAGATATCCTCGAACCCCTCACAACATCCGCTTTGTATCTCTCATCCACTAAAGTGGGTGCCTGTAGTGTAGATAAGTGTATACCATTAAAGTACGTTCTAGCATTTTCAAAAATATATTCGTTAAAGTCCATCCTTGCATACTTTATTACACATGTATGCGTTAGATTCCGTCCTCGCCGACTTTAATGTACAAAAAAGTACCTTATACCTTTAATGTACCTTATCTCGCAATCCCTCGAATACCATCTCGCACCTCTTAGGGGTGCGAGCTCTGGTTGAGAGGTCGTGGTTTGGGCCATTCAACATATCATTATTATTTCGTTTCATTACTGTCGCTTGATTATTAGTATAATCATCCTATCATTACTATTCGAAAATTGTTAATTCGTAAGTTTGATACTAGAAATAGTCCTCGCTGTTATTCGTTGTTCAGTTTGTATTTAATAATTTCGAAATTTTAATCAGTATCTTTCTTATATTTAAATCAACAGACAATAAGGTGTTTACAATTAAGAAAATAATTGGTCGTAATATCATTCAACTTTAATTAATTATTAGAAATATTCAGCACAAATTTTTGCTGAAGTAAGAAATATTTTAGCTTATTTCGCTATATAACCGGGATTGGCTCCCCAGATCCTTACAACCAACTACAATCAAATATCTGAACGACCATGAGATCTAACTCTCTCCTAATGTTTCAGATCAAAAGCAATGCGAAGAATGGTATCCTCATTAATATTATATGTTGCAACATCTATATCGTTGTCAGTCAATATATTCAGTCCGAGCGAGCGTTTCGTTTGCATCTATCGTTATCTGTTATTATCAATTATTCTATTCATTCGTCATGCAAATGCAGTTATATGCCCTAGTGAATCTTCATTAACTTCCACAAAACAATCAACAGTGAGCAGTAAGCGTAAAATATGTCCTGATTTCAAAGATGATATCAGTGAAAAATTTTGTTGTCCATCACATGTTGTACCAGGAAGTTATTACTGTTGCTCCGAAGAGCATTTAACTGTAATGGAGGCTGAACAAGCAGCTGAACTTCGGCGGCAATTCATCAAAAAGTACTTGGTTTTGATCCGTTCTAACTGCTCCCTGAAGGCTGCCCACCATTCATTTTTACAACACAGTATACTACAGCAACCTAATTTCCTTAAATAAACGAATCGTTAATGTTAAAATTTTATGGAATGGTGGTAAATCTCCGTTTTCACTGATCACCATCGATAGGCCATTCTAAAACGGCAATCAATGTTTTTGTTGCAGTTATCTTGTCGTGATAATAATTGGTTCGATCGGTAGCGTTGTATTGATAATCGTATTAACGATGTGCATCTGTAAAAATTTGACGTTTTGTCCGATGAATTCGTCTAAATCTGGTAAGAAAGTTGGCCTTGTTTAGTTTTTTTCATTGATTTATAATGCATACTCATTGGATCGGCTCTTCCTGTTCTTATCATCCACCACTTCGCAGTTCGTATTCTTGACCAGTATTATCAATTCAATAGTTTCTTCGCTGACAGGTATTTCTTGTACGAAATTGTCACAGCCGAACTGAATCCTCAGCAATCCTCAGTTTTAGTAGTGGTGCTATTTAGTATATCATGATTTATTATTGTACATATATAAAGAGGGCGGCAATATTTTATAGGAGGAAAAAGGTTCTGGAAGCTTCGTGTCCCACCACTCGAGGAAATAAGGTGTATTAAGTACCACCTCGAAAAAAACTTTTCTTGGCAAGTCATTTTGGAATTGGCGGCCCATTCTTGTTAGTTAAAAATCAGTTGGTGTAAAATTTCAGTCAAAAATTATTTTCCAGAGCTAGCCTAAAGCACTCAAATTTTTTAGTAAGGCAGTAAATTGAGTATTTTTCTTCGTTATTCGTTTTCTGGATTTTGCTCTGTGATTTTTGGTATATAAGGCAGGAACGATTCGTTTTTGTTTAATGTTAAAGACTATCCGGCCGATTTCAACCAAAAATGTGGCGAGTGAAAGTCGTGTTCATTAATTTTCATGCCATATAAGGGGTACAACTAGCGGCACATTACTTTTCTTAGTCTTTCATCAAGAGGTCGATTGTGATACATTAGAGTGTGTTGATTTGGATAGTAATGAGACTTAGTGGATGAGTCAGTCCTCAGACATTATGGCAAGATTATATGGATAATTGTCGTAACAAATGAGAGTGGTTTTTGCATTGTGTGCTAAAAATCGAAGGATAGAGTTTTAAAAAATCGAACAATAAAAGTAAATGCTTAGCAGCAAGCGCTTTCTGTCCTTCTGAAACGTTCACAGAGCTCGACATGTGGTTCGGTTGCTTCGACATTTTGCATATTGTTTTCTTATGATGAAATTAATCAGTTTTACTTGGTGCGTCGAAAATCGAGCAACAATCGGGAAAACTCAATTTATTGCCTTCTTGAAACCTTCCAGCGTAGGCTGCGAGCGATATTTGTGGTTGAAATTCTATATGCATTGTTTTTGGATCAGCTGATATCGGTGCACCCAAAATCGATCATGG